TACTGAGAAAGATGGATGAGTCCTCTTAATCCTAAGGATACACTTTTCCAAAGAAAGAGACTTTCCAAAAGAGAAAATGTTTTGAAGTAGAGCAGAAAGGCAGGTTGGAAGCAATTAGTTGATAAATTATACCAAGAAGAAGGAAGGCAAGAGAAAATTATCCAAATAAAAATGAAGGTGGTATAGAGAAAAGAGAGAGGTGAAACCTATGGAAGGGAGATAAATTATAGGTTTTAAACATTTTGGTTTTTATTTTTCACCAATAGGAATCTAAAGCAGTTTAGGATGGAAACCAACTAGATAAGTGTTTTCGGGGATAAAGGGACCCAAAATTCTAACATATTTTAAAGAGACTTCCTTATTAAACTATAAACAGGATAATGGCAACATTAAGACAAATCATTTGGGAAACCATCAACATGAAGCCAAAACAGTTTGCAAAGATTCACAGTCATGGGGCTAATTACAGAAGATGGAAAACAAAGGAAATCATCACTGCAGCAGGTAAATTCATCATCGTTGTGAGTGGAACTACAGAAGCAGGGAAAGGGCCATGATTGGGTTATGTACACAAACACAGACTGAAAGTTTACAGGATTGATCCTAGGGTCCTTCTGCTACCTGAACTACATGGTTGTCAGAATATAACTCATGGCAATGGGCCCTGAATCATAACCCCGGTACCTCAAGGTCCAGGTGAAGCACAACTTTAAATCATTAAGGGCATTCTCAGGCAAGTTCATTGAGAGAAGACTGTCCCTCCCTGGACTGGCCCAGCAGTTGATACAATCTACTGTCAAACATGAAGTCCTGGTGTGGTACTGTAGGATAGGCACTGCACTGCAAGGTCTTTTTGAACCATAAGGTCAGTGCTTCAAACCCACTGGTTGCTCCTTGGAAACCCTATACAGGTTCGACTATGAGTCGGAACCCATGCACTTTACAACAACAACATTCAAACACACTCTGCCTGAGGGCAAAGTTGCCACAGAGTTGGTTAATGAACCACAAATGAACTCAAATGTAGGGTAAACAACTGTCAAAACACAAAATGGAGTTAAAATTCCCAATGTAAACCAAAGCCTTCTACAAAGCAAGTGCTTTAGAATTTAACCTCTAATATAAGTATGAACTAATACAGGTCAAACTTTTAAATAATAATTCCCACAAACAGGAAAGACATACTTAGAGGAATAGTGAAATTGAGGATAGTTTTATTATTCTAAGCACTACCACTTACTGCGTGTCCACTATGCCAATAGGCACTATGCAGGTGTTTTCTTTACATTTTCCCACCTTACGTGGTGTGTATCATCATGTGGTCTTACAGATGATGAAACTGGGAGGTTAAATAATTTGCTCAAGGTAAAAAAGCAAAAAGACTAGCAAAACTGGAATTGTCATCTAACCCTCTGGCTCAGAAATTCAGATTTTTCCTACATTGCTACCTATAACATATATTTGTTCAGTGACAGAAGAGTGACAGTACTACATTTCTCTTCACAGAGCAATTTCCCAAGACTAGCTTTTCCATTCAGTTGTGCCTGAATTATTGATTTGTTTATAATTGCTATCCTTTAAAAGATCTATGCTCAATTTGGGGAGTTAGAAGCCTTTTAAGAATAATAGTTTTCTTTGTGACAATTATATATCAATTAAAATGAACATAAATTCAAAACAGCCTGGCCAGGTGTTACTAAGTACTATAATACCACATTCAACATTTGTGAGAGTCTTGACAAAAACTTACAAATTATATGTCAGATGAGCTGCTGTTTCTGAATCAATGCATCTTTAAAAAGCTTTTTTTAAAAAATAACTCTCAGAATACTATACTGGAAGCATGTACATACATAATGCCATAGAAAAAGGAGGTGAGGAGATTCGTTTGAATGTGAGCAACAGAATAGTATCCAGAATTATGGAATAGTCTCGTGAAGGATGAAATTCATACAGTATCAAGTATACAAATTTATAACCTTTAAGTAGCTTCAATAATCAAAACATATTCTACAGACTCTGTTTCTACTTCAACTTTCCCAATTAAAGAAGAAAAAAGGCACCTGTTTTTCCTTCTTAGAATTTATAATTAACACAGGGCAAGAGGACACAGGCAGACTTCCTTGGTAAAACAGTTTCCTCCAATAACATGCTGTTTCTTTGGTTACAATGAATAATCCTTATTACTGTCTTTTTGACAAAAATTACTCATGTGTTATTGGCATTGTACCAGGGTAAAAGAGATGAGATGAGCTTTCAGTGATTTGTTTTAATTTTATGATCAAATAGCAATTATAGTACAATCTCATAAACTATCAACCTTTTCCCCACTTCCCAAATTATCTCCCAACATTTTAGCAGATGCACAGAGACTTTCACCATGAACTATATGAATACCAAAAACTCAGGAAAGAAGGAAGGGAAATGAGGTGGGGCAGAGGGCTAGAAAGTTGGAGAAAATGAGGTAGGAGAAAAATTGTGTCAGATTTCTTGTTGCAATGAGGAGAAAGCCCCAGAGTGTACATTTCAATCTTCTCTAAATGAAAATTTGCTAAATTAACTATTTTCAATTCTGTCTGAATGAACATTAGCATTACTTCAGCTTTTATAAAACCATTGCCTCCTAGAAATTCTGATTTGGTGCTACAGAGTAGGGGCTGGACTGCTAACAACAAGGTTGGTGTTTCAAACCCACCAACTGCTCCTCGGGAACCCTATACAGGGTCGCTGTTAAATCAGAACCAACTTGACGGCACTTAACAACATATAAGGTTCAGGCAACAAACAGTTTGTTTTTGAAACTCTTTCATGTGATTCTAGTATGCAGACAGGTTGGAGAACCAGTCCAATCTAGGCCAACACAGTAAAATCAGAACAGAACCAAATTTGTAAAGTATGGGTATGCTGGAGCAATAACCCAAATGGAAAAAGTGACAGGATGAAGCTCTGGAATAGGAAGAGACATAGTGAATCTTTCCCAGAGTCTGAAGTTAGAAATTGGATTATTGCCAGAAATGTGTAGTGACACACATTAAATGCTATATAGTCATCTGCCATCTTTGAGCTGGGTACTTTTGTTTCCAATTCTGCTGGTCTAGAGATTTGGTTACTACTCAATTCACACACTGTCCTTGTATTCTATGAAGGATATCAAGTTTCTAAGCAGAGTATCCACCAGTAATTTTTCTTGTTCCAGTTGCCATTTCATCAGCAGTATACACTGTACTAATTATTAAGCTGGTGCCAACGACACACAGCAGCATAAAGTCAGGCATTAATTCTCCATTTTACAAATGAGGAAACCAAACCTCAGGAATATGAAGGAACTCCCCTAAGGCCAAAGAACAAAGATAGAAGTTCATCCCAGATTTTTGTTCCAAGACCAGTGTTTTTTCTCTTGTTACACATCTCCTAGAACATTTCTTTGCATGTGCTAATTTAACAGATAGGTTTCTGGGTACTAGCTTTGATGCAAGACAGGTTCTTGAGAAAAGAATATAATTTTAGCAACAATTTCCACTGTGGAATCTCAAAGAGTTCATTATAAGGAACTGCATTTATTACCTCCTGGCTATGAGGAATTTGGCAATTGGTAGTAATTAGATAAAGATGGGAAACATAAAATAAGACTGGGGAAGCTGGCATGGCACTGATGGTAAAGGACTTTGAGTGCCAACTAGGGAGTTGAAAGGAATATACTAGTTATTTATTAGACCTACATGTACTAATATACACACTATAAACAGCAAGGTGAACTCTCTAATACCACGGGAGACAGTAGGATATAGAAGGGTTTTGAGGGTGACAACATGAATGTAGCAGTACAGTATACCAACCAGAACACAAAGCACAAGGAAAGAATAATATAAGAAAGAATAAAATAATATAAGAAAACACTCAATTTGTATAGCATAATTAATGAGAAAACAAACAAACCCTGAAAAGTATGTAGAAATCCCTGAGACACACTTACCATTCTCAAAAAAAAAACAACCTCTCAAAAAGGACTTAGGGTTATTTTTAAGTGACACCTTTTTCAGTGTCATTTTTTATTATAGCCTTAGTAGTGTTTTTCCAAATTATGAGTTTAATAAATTATAAAATGCAATTCTCTCACCCAAGGCAGAAGGTAAGTGAGACAGTCTAGGATTAGAGGCATTTGTTAGTATATGTTGAAATTAACAACAAGAAAAGTGCATGGATTATTAATCTCCCTCAAGTTAATGAAATTACATCAATTTGAAAGTATATTCTTAAATTTAAATAAACAAAATTTTAAAAATCAGAATAAAAGTCTCCTACAAAGCCAAAAATCTATTTAAAACTTTGTATTTCGATTAAATACATAAACTGATAAGAACAACCTACATACAGCTTGACAAAAAAGAATGGCTAGGTTATTTTTATTACCATCAATACAAGGATTTCATAATTTTAGTATTTCTATGAAATCACTTGCTTTTCTACATTATAAAAAGGGAAACTGAAAATCAAGTTAATTTAGAATTCTACCAGTGTAAAATCTTTATGCTTTATGTATCTGAGAGTAATTTCTCAGTGCTTTAAATAAAATTAAGAAGTATGGCACTTAGAATGTCACCATGAGAGTATTTAATATGCCATTAAATTAAGCAAATTAAGTCAGTATAATAATTTCCTTACTTATACTTATTATATCAAACATTCAATTGTCCCAATATTTATTTTCATTACATAGCTCTTCTAGCCAGACTTCTTCATCCTGTGTAAGTCTGTATGTGTGTGCACACATTGCATGGTTGTGTGTGGTTCCCTGTGGAAATAAACTCATACACACATTCATTTATTCTGGTTCTTCATATGTCATTGATTTCTTAATTTTTATGTATGATTGGAATGAGCACGAGTGAAAGTTAAACAGTCTCCATTAGAGAGCAGTCTTCCTTAAAAGTTAAGCCTTTGAATTATTTTGTAATTTTTTAAATTTTTGAAAAAAATTAGAACAAATGTTCATTACATACCATAATCTGTGATTTTACAGGACACCAAGTACAGCTCTTTCAGGTTTTGCCCTTCCTTTGCAATGACCTCCACACACCTGAAATACGCAAAAAAAAAAAAAAAAAAAGGTGAATTTTACTAATATGCTTCACGTTAAATTAGCAAAGGCTTGGCCACTACTATAACAAGACAAGGTCAGCATATGATAAATGATATCTCTCTCTTTTGTTAACAAACCTCTTTTAAGATGTTTCAGGAAAATGTACTATATTTCCTGCTTTAAACTCAAGTATTCCAATACCTAAGTAATTTTAACTAAAATGACTAGTGTATCTTAAAACTGAAGAACTGGAAGAGAGATATTTCTATCAAAGTAATGATACATTTGGTTATAAAACCTTAGCAAATCTGTGCTATAGAATAATATATATATATATATGTTGTTGTTAAGTGTTGTTGAGTTGGTTCTGACTCATAGCAAGCCTGTATAGAGTTTCCAATGAGCAGCTGTTGGATTTGAACTGCCAACTTGTGGTTAAACTGACCTTGCAGCCCAATGCTTTATCCCACAATGCCAAACCAGGACTCATATATATGTATATATTAGGAAGTTTTCCGTCCTTTTCTATATTCTGGAATAATTTGTGTATATAAATGCATGTATCCAATTGTCTGTTACTTTAGTATACTGTGGTGGCATGCATGTTGCAACATAAAGATAAATGGAGAAAAGATTGAAGTTGTCAAAGATTTCATTTTGCTTGGATCAACCATCAACACTCATGGAAGAGGTAGTCAAGAAATCAAAGGATGTATTGCATTAGGCAAATCTGCTACACAAGACCTCTTTAAAGTATTGAAGAGTATACATGTCAGTTTGAGGACCAATGTGTGCCTGACCTAAGCCATGGTATTTTCAATATGCATGTGAAAGTTGGACAATTAATAAAGATGACTGTAGAAGAATTGATGCATTTGAGTTATGGCACTGGAGAATAATGAAAGTACTATGCACTGCCAAAATAACAACCTAATTTGTGTTGGAAGAAGCACAGTCAGAATGTTCCTTGGAAGCTAGGGTGCTAGACTTCCTCTCTCATAATTTGGACATATTATAAGGAGGGACCAGTCCCTGGAGAAGGACATCATGCTTGGTAAAGTGAAGGGTCAGAGGAAAAAAGGAAGACCCATAATGAGATGGATTATTATAGTGGCAGCAACAATGAACTCATGAAGTTGAGACAGGACGAGGCAGTATTTTGTTCTGTTGTGCATAGGGTCACTATGAGTGACCAATTCAGTGGTACCTAATAACAAAAATGCATATATACTTGTTGTTGTTAAGTACCAAATGAGTCAGTTCTGACCCACTCAGAGCGACCTTGTATAGGGTTTTCAAGGAGCAGCTGGTGGGTTTGGACTGCTGAACTTGTGGCTCAAAGTCCAGAGCTGATCCTACAGCACCCCACCAGAAGTCATATACCACGGCACATAACAACAACAACATATATATGGTAGGGCTAGGTCTATTGTAGGAAAAGCCTTCTGTGTGGGAGGGATTTGATAAGAGTCCTTTTAATGGTAATTTACAGTATAAATACATTCATTAGATGTCTTATTTCAAAACAATAGCAGGAGGAAGGGATAGGGATAGAGAAAATCATTCCACGTATTTGAGAAAATATCTGTATGTGCCCCCAGACTATAGATTACTTCTTTCAAGAGCAAAAGCTTCACACACTTGACTTGAATCACATTTTCGGATCCTTTTACTTTGTTCTAGAAGTACACTGAAGAATCTCATTGTTTAAAATACATTTTGTAAGTATTTCAAAGGATTAGGAGTCAAAGCTTTTTGTTTCAATACTGATAATAATGTTGGTCAGGAACTCCTGGTGTAGTGCTTTAGGATTATATATATGTATATATTGTTGTTGTTGTTATGTGCCGTTGAGTCGGTTCCGACTCATAGCGACCCTGCACAGGCTTTCCGAGGCTGTAAATCTTTACGGGAGCAGAAAGCCTCATCTTTCTCCTGTGGAACATCTGGCAGTTTCGAACTGCTGACTTTGCGGCTTGTAGCCCGATTTGTAACCACTACGCTACCAGAGCTCCATATATATATAATTTATGGTGGTGATGGTGGTTATGTTCTGTGGTGTCAGTTCCAACTTATAGCAACCCGATATAGGGTTTCTAAGCCTGTACATCTTTACAGGAGTAGAAAGCCTCAACTTACTCCCATGGAACAGCTGGTAGTTTTGAACTGCTGACCTTGAGGTTAGCAGTCTCACTCGTAACCATTATGCTACCAGAGCTCATGTTTTAAAAAGGCATAACTAAAAAAGCTGATTTTTCCTTAAGTCTTTAAGCAATATTAAAACCAATGACTATAATATTATGTAACAACTGTAACTGTGAACAAGTCTTGAATTTACCAATATGGTCCAGAAGAGTGAGGTCCAGTCAAAACAGAGTCCTTTAAGGGGATCTGCTGGGCCAGTTAAATTCAAGACTGAGAGGTCAGCTCAGAAAATTCAGGCAATTGTGTTTTGGGGACTCCAAAGGGGTAATCTCAATAGATTTTCTCAAAGAACACAGGACGATCACAGGAACTTATTATGAAGTTTTAAGAAAACTGGAAACTGCATTGGTGAGAAAAATCCAGGAGAGTTTTGTGGCGAAATTTTTTTCCATCCACATCCACCCTACAGTCCTGATCTTGCCCCATTCAGACTTCTTTTTGTTCCCCAAACTCACAGAACCTTCTAAAGGAACACATTTTGAGTCCCTTGAGGATGCCAAAAATGCTCTTCGATGTGGTGTAAACCAAAGAGCTCAGAATTATTTGGGGGAGAATTAGAGAGATGGAAACATCACCTTCAGAAATGTATACACTTGGCTATGTTGAGAAACAACAGCTTCACGTTTCAATACTTTTCATTCAAGTTTTCTATGACTACGTAGCAATACTTTGGGCTTACTCTTGTATATCACCTATATAATGAGATAACATAAAAATGATTTCAATGGAACCATAGAATTTACATGGTGGTCTCTATAGGTGTCTGGGTAATACTTATTGCCCATGGTTCAATAGTTAATTATGGAGACTGATAACATGGAAATACACATTCTTTTTGTTAAATATTATTCAACTTAAAACAAAAATAAGTTTTAAAGTCTAACTTCTATAGATTAAAGATGAAAGACTACTGTACGTATAAGACCTTTAAAATGTTTTAGTCTTAAAATCTAAGATGAATTATTGCATGATAATAGGCTACTTTTATAATATAGATCTGGCTATATACTATATTTAAAGTCTTTTTGTTGTTGTTGTTTAACTTAAAAGGTTTTGAATGGTGCACTCTGCTCTAATAGTCCTAGTGGAACTTGTAGCACAGAATTGAATGAACTTTTAAAAATAATGATTTACAGCACTATCCATTTTGTGGCTCAGTCCCTAGAACATCAGAAAACCTGTATAGTCACACTGACACATAGGCACATAAACCCTTCAATGCATTCACTGTTTTAATCTTTATAAATAACAGTTAAGTAAAAGGGTAAAAGCAAAAAGAGTCATTACCCTTTTCTAGGAAGTAAGGATCAAGTAATTTGATACCTGTGTATGCAATCCATCAAAAAATTCCTCAGTATCCATCTCCTTCAAATATTTTATTTGCTGTCTGCCTTACTTGTAGGTATCTTTGTAAAATGTCAAAAAATATCAAACAATCTTATTCCACACTATTCATTATTGAAGGTTAAATTAGTTAGAGGGAAGACATTTTTCTTGAAAAAATATTTTTATACAATTTTGCTTTAATGGAACGATGGACATTTAAAATTTTCTCAGAATAACCAAATAAACCTTCTTTTTTGGGCTATTAAAAATAATTTATGGTAAAATGGGTACTCTTCTAAGTCTATATAGAAAACTATCAAAACTGTAACACAGCGCAATTATGATTGATACAGCTTACTGTGAAGGGAAATTTTAAAATCTAATTTCGTATGTCATTTTGCTTTAATGCAACATTTAAGTAAAGTCATGAAAAAGGATAAAAACAAAAATGAAACATTACAGACAAGAATCATGATTTATATGCAACTTTAAAAAGTAATTTTCACATGCTAAGAATAAAAATAAAGGTCCTAGATGATTGTAAAATCCAAAATAATTTATTTTTTTTAAATGTTGGTATTAAAGATATATATCTCACAGCTCTCCTCAGTCACTTACTAAGAAATCTCAAAGATCCAATATTTTGTGTGACCTTCACAAAAAATAACTTATTGCAGAAATAAGTTCACAGTATTAATTGTATTTTGTTCTCATGCTCTATGCAAATAGTTCAAGATGCTTGATTTTATATTTGATTATGGAAAAAACACTAAGCAGATGTAATTTACTATTTGTGTCCTTACTTCTTGAGTCTATATTAGATACGTTATAAGCACATATAAACTTTAAAGTCATACAGAACTAAAAACAGCACATAACACAAATCAATTTCAACGTACAAGCCAAAACAAATGCAATTTCATAGGCAACATGAACTGGTATTCATATGGAGGTGATGCTCGTATTGTGCTGTGGAGTCAGTTCCGACTCACAGTGACCCTGTATAAAGCTTCCGAGGCAGTACATCTGTTGTTGTTGTTGTTAAGTGCTGAGAGCCTCATCTGTCTCCCAAGGATGACTGGTAGATTTGAACTGCTGACCTTGCGGTTGGCAGCCAGTTTATAACCCACTATGCTACCAGATTGAAGTTGTCAAGGACTTCATTCTTCATGGATCAACTATCAACACTCATGGAAGCAGCAGTCAAGAGATCAAATGACGAATTGTATTAGGCAAATCTGCCGCACAAGACCTTTTTAAAGTGTTGAAGAGCAAGGATGTCAGTTTGAGGACATAGTATTTTCAATAACCTCATATGCATGCAAAATCTGGACAATGAATACGGAATACCACAGAAGAATTGATGCTTTTGAGTTATAGTGCTGGAGGAGAATATTCAAAGTGCCATGGGCTGCCAAAAGAACCAATACATCTATATTGGAAGAAGTGCAGCCAGAGTGCTCCTT